GGGCATTGGACTAATGTTTATATTGAACTGGAGAGGTAAAATGGCTACGACTACACGTAAACTCACAGTGATTCTATTTACGCAAGTCATTCGGTGTCAACAGGCCAGTCCCAGATGGATCAACCTAAGGAAACACTTATCAAAAAATTGCTTTCGCTCTATGGCAAGCCAGTCATGACTTGTATGATTATCGAAAATGGGCACAGCTCTTGTTTGTGGCCTCCCACAGCTCAAGGTTTGGGTACAGGGTGGGACATAAATCATTCCCTTACGGGCAAGGTGCCACCGCCTTATTTCCTGCCGGACCTCACCGAGCTACACTTCCAAGTGTCTAATTACCACTACGGAGCTAAAGTCACACCAATAGCTCTCCAGCGTGGAGTCCTAGCCTCTCCATGAACTACACAGCTAATTGTTCCATTGCTCCCCTAATGAGGCAGTCAAAACAGAACAAAGCATAACACCGAAAGGTAGAGACCAAGTTGATGTGATAATTTTCATTAACTCTGCACTCCGGGTTCTTTCATCTAGCCCCCCTCCCCCCTTCCCCTGAACTGCGTAGTGAGGTACTCAAATTATCCACAAGCATTTCAGCCTGTGCTAATTATCCAAAGACTTCCTCATTAGACGATTTTAAATCCAATCTTAGATCAACACTTGCTCAGACCTCAGGGATTCTACGTTCCCAACAGCGGTTAAACAAACAATCAGTTCAAAGGATCAGGTATTCCACTTTAAGAAGAGGGGCAAAGAGAAGGGTAAACAACTGCTCACTTGAAAGAAATGACTCCAGCCGTTGCCCAGCATGAATGCAGCAATCTATAATTCATTTCACTCAAAAACGCTCAATTTTTCCCCATGCACCAGCTTTCTAATTTGAAGTGTAGTCCACACACTCACAAACCTACACCCACATGATTACTGCGGGCAAAAGCCAGACCAGTGCTCCAAAAAAGAGAAAAAACAAAGAAAAGAGAATTGCCAAAAGTAACAATACGTTTCATGCAGCTTGCAGTAATGACGTGGCCAACAAATAAATGCGACGACCATCTTAACCGTGCTGAGTCCTATGGCTGTAGAGTATTTTCCACAATTAGATCAGGCTTCCAGTAATTAATTTACAATGCAGTCAGAATGCACTTAATAGCACCTGTACCTGTACTGTCATTGCTTTACCTTGCAGATGAGATTGGCTAAGAAAAAGACTCTATACATATGTAGTGTTCATGTGAAGAATTGATCATATGGGCCTTTTAATAGGCAGCTTGAAATCTGGCCTTGAATGGATTCCTACGAGAGCGTTAGTAGATGTACCAGATCGCACTATTAACATGCAGTAATTTCAACAGCACTTCTCCTCCCCTGCCTTTCTCTCTTCCTCACTCGTTTTATCTTTCCATCGCTCTCCCTATGACCGAGCTGCACTCTTTCTCTCTTTCGTCTCTCTTAATGTCAGTGTGTTGCCACTGTGAAGCATCACAGAGCTCGAGTCTGTCACTTAAAATAATGCTTTCAGGTTTGTAATTTTAACCTTGAAGCAATTAGCTGTTGTTGAGCCGTAATGAATGTTGACACCTCTCGGAGATGATGAAACCCCTAATTGCTCTGTAAGAATTGAAGCTTTTGACATTGCTGCTGACAGAATTTTTCCCCTTCCTTTCTTGTGCTCCTTCATGTGGCCACACATACAATGACGGTGGCTGGTTTGAAACTTGAAAGCAAGCAGAACTTCGCCATCAGCTGTCCCGTCACTTGAGTGGAAAAATGAGAGGGGAAAAGGCTGGTTTTGCTGAAATGATGAGAGCGTTTAAACCATGATAGCACTCAGCTAATGCATCATTCAGCAGAAGTGTCATGGATGAGCGTTAATGTCACGACAGGAGCAGGAAGATGACTGTTCCAGCTTAGACAGGAAAAGGCTGAAGAAATGATGGCTCAGGACACTTGTAATAAGTTTCCTCCTAAAATACCTGGCAGGACTGAGTGAAGTGAGGACTATGGGATTTATAGAAATAACAGTTCACTTATAACTTCACACACACACACACAAAAGGGTGCACTTTTTAATACCCGGATAATGCACTTAATTAACTGGAAAACAAATGTTGGACACTTAATGCACTCAACTGTCCTTGCTTTAATTACTTAGTGGAAAGGGAGAGGCTCTCAGACTGTAACTTTGGACGACAAAACAATCTTATAAAATTCATACACTACACAATTCATACACTAGTGCATAGTGTATATGACATATTATACACTATGCACTGTGTAAGTTTAAGTAGGTTTTCTGGTAATGGATTTTGGTATATATTTTAATACCTTGTGTGTGCTCTGGGAATTAAACTCAACCAGGTGACCTGCAGTACAACATTCCTTCCGTGCGTATATACATGTGAAATTATTTTTCTTTTTCTTTCACTTTGAGTTCTTTCTCTGACAGTTGCATCCTTTTATGGCAGTTTTACACATGCATCATCTGTGAATAATACCCACATAGACATTTGCTCTTATGATTGAACTGATAACTGGTGAGAAAGATATTTGGTGCCAGAATTTTACACATTCTTCCAGCCCATCAGCGCTGAATAATAAGTATTATCAAGTCAACAATGAATATACAGTATATAAGATGAGGCATACATATCGAAATGTAGATATTTTTCTAACATCAAATTGAGTTGTCTTTTCATATTTTTAGACAATTTAATTACAATTATTTGCACTTACGAAGAATATAAAAACAATCTGTGAACGTATGTGCATGAAAAGACGTTTAACAGTTTTGTCGCGTAATCTAATGGCACTGCAGTTACTATTTTATTTAATACCTCCAGATAACTGTCAGATTTTCTGCTTGTAAGTTTGCTGAAAGCAATGTGGCCATGGATATTAGCAGTGGGTCTCGATAAAAACAGTGCGTGTTGAATTGAGTGCTGATTAATCATTTCAGTGTTAGGGACAGATAGCCTAGTTCTTAAGCATGATAAGGCATCTGAAAAGCATCTTTAAATGTATTAGTCCATTTCACACCTTCACTAAAATTTCTAAAACGTGCTAATAACGCAGAGGTGCACCACGATGCCTGTCAACCACTCCTGCCTCCTGGCAGAAATCCCCTTTCACACTTTAAACGATTCTAACCTTGTTACAACCGTTCCTCCAATTCAGCCTGCTTTGAAAATGCACACGTTGACAACCTACCATCTTAAAATTCATCATCCTGACACCTCACCATCACCACAGGGCAAGATTAAGAATCCAAACCACGATAATTAAGGGACACCCAGATGCTTAATGTGGCGCTTCCGTGCTGTTTTGCGAGGCACTGCGATGACTCGGGCCTTGAGTGCGTCATTTAAATCCCACACCACTGATTGTCGCCTTTGAACGATTCAGTGAGTGACCTTGCAACGTGACCATCTTCGAGAAGTTCGTCTGGATACGTCCCTGCCGTTTGAGTATGAAAGATAACGCGTAAAGAAAGTGCCAGCGAGTAATGTGGTAATGAGCGGGCCTCTGAGAGCTGGTGCGTTTCCCTCATTAGGATAATAAGTAAGACATCCCTAACATGACATCAGCTGGAAAATGTGGCAATTACAAAACCTTACTTGGGCTCCGATCCTGCAGTCTATTCAGTCCTCCAGGGGATGTTATCGTGCTCAAAAAAATAAAAGCATTGTAATGTTCACTTAGTTATATACACCTAAGAAAACCCACGTGATTACGTTACGTTTGGTTTATTTCTTTCTCATTTCGTGTAAATCGTCCTAAGTAATTCTGGCCAAGGGAGTGGGTCTAAGTTTCTATAACTAAAATTGTGGTTTTATGCTACGATACGAAATATTGCGGTCATGTATTATGTATTGTATAATCTTTGGCTAGTAGCCTATGTTTCTCATTTCTAATTGGCAGCGTCTCTTATTTAAAATTCCTTCTGTTCTTTTTAGACCACGTTTATGCACATCCACTCACTGAGACCTTTTTGTTCATTAGCTTAGTGTTAGAACTGTGCTATTGAGTGCACGACTAGCACGAACTGGGAATGAAATACTGATTTGTCTGGGGGAAAAAAATATGTATAAATCGTTAGGCCTATTTTAAATAGTCTAAATGAAGAAAGTGGGTTTCTGTGTGGTTGTGTTCTTTACAGCATTATCCTAAGTGTCGCACGAATGACAAATAGCGAATATTAATCTCGGGAGAGTTCCACAGAGGTTTATAATTGTTTATAAGAAATGTTTATTTTAATTCACTCACGCTGAGAAGGCTCACGCCTGCTGTCTGTCCGCGGCGGTTCTCCCACAGAACAGCTGCCAGACCGGGAGCAGCTTCGCCATTCCCAGAGCAAATGCGTCAAACCATCTATTCTCATATAGCAGACCGGTCCCGAGCCTTACTTGAATACACGCCTATGCTAATGAGTTCAGACGGGCTTAAAGAGTTTACAAAGAAATTGTGTTGTTCCCTAAAAAGTAGCTTATAGGCTATATATATATATATATATACAAAACAGGATTTGTTATGTCCTCTTAAACTGATGTTATCTTGCATCATATACAAGTGCCGAGAAGAATTAGAATTTAGGCCTATATGTTAGAGATTTAGATTTATAAATTAAATTGTTTGTTTTTAAATTAAATTAAATTAAATGTTTCTTTCTTTTTTAATCCAGGTTTTAAAAAAAAATCAACACGCCTGATGCTAAAAGCCATTCACTATAATGTATCTTTCTTGAATTATGCAGTTATTGGAATCAAATTTTAAACTTACTTTTAAACAACAGAACAGCCCCAAAAAGGTCCCGTTAAATTAGTATTCAAGAGAAAGCGTCTGACATTAGCTTTTTATCATTTTGTCTTTATTTCACCCTTTCTTTAAATCTAATAAACTTTATAAGCCTATGTAGGCTACTAGTATAAGTGTATTTGTACCAAAAAAAGACAAAACAAACAATCTGACAATGCACAGTCCTTTTACTGTCACGGTCACAGGCTCGTCTGGTTTAGTTAGGCCTATACGTCAGAAATGGTCCATATTAAATAATACATCTTTTTCTTCGATAAAATCGTCTCTCAGTGTTGGAGAAAAAATGCGTCTTGTGAAAGTTCAGCGCAGTCTGTCACATCACGTGTGATACATTTGTCTCTCCGTGTCTTTTCGTTTTACCGAGGATGCGGTGTGCCCACTATTGGGTTCAGTGCCGGTTGTCCCCCGGGCCCCAGGCCGTGAATGAGCACTCTGGGGACGAGCGGTCTCTGGAGAGATGGATGCGGTGTGGACGGAGTCCGGTACATACTGCTGTACATGGCAGCGGCGGCGGCGGCCGCTGTCGTGCTGTCCACGGTACCTAATAAACTCGGGTGGTAGAAATACGGAGATGGGAACATTCTCTGTAAGGCCGAATAATTTCCAGCTTCAGCCAGCAGTTCTAATCCGACAGCCGTCTGCCTCTTCCATTTCGTCCTGTAATGAGATAAAAATACAAGAAATCAATTATTAAACTCTCCACATGGCTCCTTCTGGGCCAGATTGTTCGAGAAGTGAATGCTGGATTCTGGTACAAAACAAATGTAGGTAAACATCATATAAATAAAATCGTTAGGCCGAAATGGTGTAAAATACATCAGAATATTGCTAACCTACTAAAACATTTTTTTCCCCGATTAAATTTGGCTAAATTGTTATTTCCGATGCATTTAGAATTCGGTGAACTCTCTACAACAGTGCGCAGCATGACGAAAATTCGTTGCCTAAATATATAATATAATAGTTATAAGAAATGTAATACAAATATGAGCAGTGTTTCAAAATGAAAAATTGTTTAGGAGGGAAAAAGGCAGAAAATATTTGAGTTGCTTAAAGTAGCGTTGTTCATGAACAGCCATTTGCATTCAAATGATTTAAAATTGTTTAATACGACAAAACTGTAAAATACAATTTCAGACAGAATGTTAAAATTATTTGATCCATATATTTTGTTGCGCCGTTCAGATATTTAAAAGCTCGCGTAATAATAATAATAACAATAATAATAATAATAATAATAAAAGCCTAATAAAATAGTAACTAATAAATAATAATATAATACAAAACATCTCGAATTTTGGCAACTGCAAAAGTTTCAAATGTAGATACAAAAATATGGTAAATGCTTGCACAATCTAAAAACATTATTATTATATGTCATAAATGTTATATGGAAACTTACCGTCGGTTTTGATACCAAGTCTTGACTTGTGTGTCTGTGAGGTTTAGGGCTGCTGCCAGGTCCATTCGGTCCTGTACGCTGAGGTATTTCTGTCTTTCGAAACTGCGCTCCAGCTGGTTAAGCTGATGGTCGGAGAAGGCCGTCCGCGCTTTGCGAGGTTTTTTAGAGCGGACTGGCGGACTGTCTCTCGAACTAGAAATTTCCCGATCGCCCTCTTCTTTTGCGAGCGGATGAGGCTGGGGTGAAAGCTGCAAACTCTGAGCCTGACTGTGATGATGATGGTGATGGTGATGCTGAAGGCTGTCTTGGACCAGATGCGGCTCGGGATGCTCCATCGTAACTGAGATCGGGGATGAGGGGACTGTTCCCACAGTGTCTATCTCCGAACATGGTGATGGCGTCGCCTGGCTCCTGAAATCCGCTGTTCTGTTACTGTCACCGAGGCGAAAATCTCCGTTCATCAGTACTGAGCTGCCAGAATTGGTTGTGGACAAAATAGTGTCTATTCCGAAACTAGACCCACTGGATCCTTCCATAGTACAAGAAAAGGATGAGCACTTAAGTCGTCTTCATAACAACTTTCCTGTACAATTTTGTAAAAGAAGAAAAAAAACCCTAATCGGAATCAATGAAACGACTAACAGAATTCAAAGGTTAACGCAATAAAAAAGCCCCGGAAAAGTACAAAATAAACATTACGCGCAAATAAAAAAAATCCTTGCACTTACGCAAAGAAAAAGAGAAATATAGCCTGCGCTCCAAGATGTTGTTACATTCAAGGTGAAATGTGGAAAGCAAGTGGATCTGTGTAGTCCACGTCCTTTTGTTATGGTTATTGAACTTTCTTTTAAAGTTGAGGTGTGGAGAGATTTGGGATGCTCTAACTCCTCGACATCACGCTCCCTTTTGCCACTAATCGCTGTAGTGTTGCTCTACAATGACTTCCTACATTGACGTCATATGTTCTCCTTTATTATAACACACTCCTCGTGTTCCCCATCTCTCCTCTCATTGGTTACATGGCCACGCGTCTGTCCAATCAGCGATTTTTACTTCATCATTACACTTTAGAGCCACTCATTGATTCCGCAATGCTCTTTTGAAACCTTCCCTCCGCAATAATGTCTCAGACGGCATCTTCGTTTGACATAAATACGTTTATGGTAACACTTTACATCATTTTGTGCATGTTACACATATTGCTTGTTGCTAAAACTAACAGTAATAAACTACAACAACGACGTGAAATTACTAGACGTTCCACATATGTAATAATGTAATAATTGCACAAAAGTATAGCTCGGCAGCCTAATATTATCCAGCGACTAACTAATAATTTAGCCTACTCTGTGATTATAGCATTCCATCTTCCGTCAATTAAAATGTAAACATATAAATTAACAAATGATATCAAAAGGGTTTACTAAATCAATTGTGAACTTTGTTTAATGATTGCGTTTAATTGTGAACTTTGTTTAATGATTGCATTGTTTACTTGTTTAACATTCATTCATTACGTATGCTTTGTTTCAGCTTATGTTATTTTTTTTTCTTTCTTTCTTTGTTTTTTTTTCTTTCTTTCCAGTTTATATTTCTCCAAAAGAAAACCTCACAATAATAATCCCTATTGGCAAAACAAAATTGTGTCATTTATTCTTTTAAGAGCACAGAGACAGTGAAACGTGTTAGAGAAATAAGCCCGTTTTGAGCTGATAGTCATTGTGTGTGTCAGGGCCTTTGAGTGAAAGCACTGATTCTAAATAGCTCAAGGGAATGAAATGATGGCGAATATTGTACATGACATATGCCCGATTGTATCTTGCCTATTTTGTTCTAAATAAACCCTGGGCGTATTCTAGATTTATAAATCAGCTTCATTTCGTTCACTTTGTTTATACACGAGAAGACAAAGTGCGTTAAATAGAAATTTTTCAGATTGATGAGCAGAAATTAAGTAGGCCTACCAACGAACAATATATGCGTTTAAATCTTTACCTCTCGTTAAACATTAGGGGGAAATAATTCTTGATAGAATAATCATTATCTTACAACACTGTTTAATGCCGGACTTTTATTTGTTAATTTTGAGCTACAGTTCAAAATGTTTTATATGCCATTGAGTGCGTAGATTTATACTGAGAGGAGGAGGATGATGCGATATATATGCAGGTATATCTGATGGCTTACATGTTCTCCAACAGACGGACTGAGAGCTGGTTATATCAGGCTGCTGCGTTCTCTAACGTAGGTTTGCTACGGTCGAGCTTTCCGTGGATCATTCCACTGTGCTCCCAAACCTGTTTGCAACCTCCTCCTGTAACGGACCGAACTGAGATTTTAACCTCTTTTATTTAGCTGAGCGACGTGGGAGGCATCATTTAGGTTTGTTGTGCGCACCGCTTTAATTTATTTTACAAAAAGGAAATAAATAATCTTTAGAAAGCAGTTTTATGTGGTTATATATGTTCATAGATTTGTATTATTATTCTTATTATTTGGAATATGCTATAATTATAATTTAGGTTTATTATGTAGGCTATTGTATGTGCCTGTCTGTTTTTGTTGTAAAGGATTTCTTGAACATATGTTTTGGAAAAAAAATTGAAAATATTGCAATAAAAAATATAAGGGATTGCATGTTCGTTTTTCGTACATGTTCCTCTATTCGTATAAAATTGTTTCTCCGGGGGAAAAAAAACTCAACAATCTCTTTAAATGTTCAGCCTGTTTAATAATTCATACTGATTTACATGACTGTACTGGAGACTGTCTTTTAAAAATATTTTATTTAAAAGTTTAATTTGTTTAAATGTTCTTTATTTTGCTTTTTCCTGTGGCGACCTAATAGCTGACCTGTTACACATAATAGTAACTATCTTGTTAGAAGTTTCTGCACATTTGGTGACTAAACACTACAACGATAAAAATCTACGATGATGTATATCCATGCATGCAATTGTCAGTTTGAATTATATAAATAGTGTGCTTGGCTTGTTAGCTTGTCATTCCTAAAATGTCTGTATTCTGTACTGAACTTAAATAATTAGTTAAGTCGTGGCTAATTGGTAAATTCTTGTAAAACACGCACTCCCTGACATGATTTTACACACGCTCAGTAATAACACTAGGCGGCGACAAAGCTATCTCAGAATTCCTGTCAATAATCGCTTGAAGACTGCTGGTTAATGCAGGGCAAAACCTCTCTATGTACACATACCGACATCAAGTTTTACCAACAGCCAAACCCAACTAAATGCCTAAATAGGTGTCTTGAATATCTGAGGTGGTTACATAAATCAATTAAGATACACTGTAGTTAAGGTTGTACTCTGAACTGACTTTAATGGATGTAGGCAATATCTAACAATTTTCCAGTCACATCTAAATACATTATATTAACTTCCTGCCAAAAAGTTTATTTTAAAATGTTTTAGAAACATTTTCTACATAGGCTATAATTATTTGGCCATATGATATTTGCTGCCATAGCCTAACAGATATGCTTGCCCTTTTATACATATATTCAAATTTACTATCTAATTGAGTTAGAGGAGTGAAATCTGTTTTGCCCCAAGATGTGAAAACGATCTATTGGCAATGTATGTCTTTCCGTTGAAGAAAATCAAAGCGATGGTTGAACACGCCAGTCAATCTCATGAGACTCCAGCAGCATGTTCATTAACAGTTCACTAATCGCAGCAACTCATTGAGCCTCAATCAATCGCTTTATTAGGTTTAAGGGCGCCGCTGGAACAAATTGAATACAACCAGTCAGGGTATCATCTGATCAGCCGGGGCTGATGGTCGATGATCGGACGGTGAAATTGTAGTTTGCACTGTATTGATTCCCCTCGCGGCTTTCTGTTGAAACTGTCACCTCGCGAATGCTGAAGGCCTCGCGCTGTTTGCAGACACACAGGTTTTTCCACTTTGTCATATAGGCTACTTCGTGCACAATCTCTGTAAGCATTTATCAAACGTAAATACCAAAATATTAATCTAATATCTAATAAATCCCCGAACGATCTGAAAAAGACACATCATTGAAACAAACACAAGAATTTGAAAATATATATATATATTTTATAAATGCAGTAGGCTAATCAGTGATGTTTTAAAAACATAATGCTCTTTTTTAAATTTTCTTTACTGTTCATTTTACTGTTCAGTTGCAATATGATTATGATGTATTTTATATTAAGGTTTATGCATAACCCAGGGAAAATTTATACAATTAGTAATAAATTATGGGGCAATAAATAAGAAATCACATGAACCCCAAACTAACTGATCTTAACTGATTAACTGATCTGTTGAACGCGAACTGTATTAATTATAATATACTTTTGCCACTTGTACGCCTATAGGTGTTCATTTAAATGAAAGACTTATATTTAAGATTTAACATTTTAAATACCACAGAATGCCCCTCATGCATGCATGCACATATATATATATAAAGCCTGGAATTAACAATAATCTGAATCACGATGTTAAAGACAACTGAGTTGTCAGGAAGTGTAGGATATAGGATCTATGGAAATTGATGAAATCACAACAGTGCGGGTCAGAATTTGTGTTAAAAAATATTTGAGGAATGCAATCAAAAAGAGACATTATAAAATATACAGTACTTACAAAGAACAATTTATTTACATTACACTGTATTTACATGCGACAAGCTATTTTAGTGAGACTTATTAAAGACATCCATACCATGGATGTCGTGCACATAATTATATTTACAAATCTTTATGTGTAAAAATTAAAGTGTTGAGTATTAATCTGTGTTTCATTTGCAAGTGCCATAAAAGCAGGCTGTAAAGGATACACTGTATTCAACTGGCTGTGCGCTTGAGCAGGGACAGCATTGGACAGAACACGGTCTCACACGGAAATGCATATTTATCAGAGAATCATGGGTCTGACAGAAGACAAATGAGCTGTCTCTCTCTAAACATGGCTAACATCTCTATTTGAGCGGACAGGAAAAGGCTAACACAAAATTGTTATGAAAGTCAAAATTCAACAGGAAATATTATTTTAGAAGCTCTCGTATGGAAGGTTGGTGCTCTCTGTGAGCTGTGACATTTACAGCAGTGGCTTTCAGGATCCCAATATTACAGTTTTTACTAGATCTTAACAGTATTCCCCCCTCTTCCTCTCAACAGTGCTTGAATTTACACTGTAATAAAATATGTGACATTCAAGTTTAATTTGAAGTGCAGCTAGTATTAATCCAAAGGCAAACAAGGAAGGGAATTAATAAGCCTAGAAAGACACAGAGAGGCCTATGGCCTAGATGAACATCAATTACGGTTTTAATTTAACACCCAAATCAAATGTTAAAATGCGTGCGACAGCGGGAGACGGGGAAAACGCGTAGAGTGTCATCAGCGAAGTCTCTGTCTCGTTTTGTTTACGTAAAACAGCAATCCATCCAAGAACTACAATGTAAATTTTGGTAAGCGACGATGACACATGCATCACATGCGTGCCCATCCCCACATCGCGTCTCTTTGTTAGTTTTTCTGCTCTACTCTATAGTGTTTGCTCAAGGAAAGCACATTGATTTGTGCGCTCCGGCCACAGACCGGCCCTGACAACGTTGTTCTAGCAGTCAGAAGGGTCTTTACAATCACCTAATTACCAGAGCTGTCAATCAGCGCGGGCCGCGGCTGGCTCTGACCGTGTCCGCGAGCTGCATTCCTGCGCGCGGCTGAGCGCGTGATTGATCCGTGCTGATGGCGTCGAGCCGCCTCATGACGTGTGATTCTGTGGCGCGTGCACGCTTCACAAAGGTAATCGGGGGATCAGGAGGGGTCAATGCCATTTCCTATTACCTGAAGTCTAAAAGCGCAAAAAATCACGAGGAAATAATACAGAA